GGCAGGCTGACGCCCTCGGGCAGCCACATTGAGGTTTTCTGGGCAGATCCGTAGTAGGAATGGACAGCTGAGATTTGGCAGGTGCCGGATTGACAGAATCCGGGAAAAGTGTTTCCTTGGTAGTCTGAATCAACACAGCTGGTGCCGTCCGGTTCGACGATAGGGTTACCGCATTTGCCGCTGTTACAGGTGTAACCAGCGACGCAGGGGTTGGCTGTTACACTGCATTTCGCACATTCATCTGTTGGGGATAGGAGGGACCAGGGCGGGGTATGGCAGGGGAGGTATGACAGGGGAAGGTCAGGCAGGAAGAGGTACAGCACAGGGAGGTATGGCAGTGGGAGGCACGGCAAGGGGAGGTACCAAAGGGGGGAGGTATGGGCAGGGGGAGGTATGCTAGGGGGAGGTATGGCAGGGGGAGGTATGGTAGGGGGAGGTATGGCAGGGGGAGGTATGCTAGGGGGAGGTATGGCAGGGTGAGGGGTATCGCAGGAGGAGGTATGACAGGGGAAAGTATACCCAGACTCACTCTTGCTGCACATGGGATGGCTATACGCCACAAGCATGGGAAGAGTCCCGGAAGGATCGTACTTGGCTAGGTCCTTGATATTGAGGGCTGGGGAGGTATGACTGGGGGAGGCATACCCAGACTTATTCTTGGTGCACCCAAACGACTCACTCTTGCTGCACAGGGGATGGCTGTAGGCCACGAGCATGGGAAGCGTCCCGGAAGGGTCGTACTTGGCTAGGTCCTCGATATTGACGGCTGCTTTGTCTTTCCGTACCGCCCTGACCATGACGTCAGCGACACGTGTCGCCATCTGAGTGGACACCTGGTTGCGCTGCCTGAACTGCTGGTAGCGGGCAGGCTTGTTCTGAGGGTGGAGAGAAAAGGGGGAAGGAGGGCGTAGGGGGAGAAGCGTTGAGGAAGGGACGTAGACGTAGGGTGTAGTGACCTGGTTGCGCTGCCTGAACTGCTGGTAGCGGGCAGGCTTGTTCTGAGGGGGGGAAGGGGGAGAGGAAGGGGAGGGGGTTGAAACAGGCGCCGGGGGTTGAAGGAAACACGAGAGAAGGGCAAAGAGACCTGGTTGCGCTGCCGGCACTGCTGGCAGCGAGCAGGCTTGTTCTGAGGGGGGGAAGGGGGAGAGGAAGGGGAGAGGCGTTGAAGGAAGGGAGAGGAAGGGAGGGAGATGGTGGGGAACCGTGGTGGGAAGGGGAGGAGGACACCGGGTTGTGCTGCCTGCACTGCTGGTAGTGGGCAGGCTTGTTCTGAGGGAGGGAGGAAGAGGGTGGGGAAGAGGGTTGGGAAGAAGGTGGGTAAGACGGGGACGGGGAGGAGAGGATGAAGAGAGGTTAAGGGCATGCGCCGACCTGTTGTGTTGGCGGGCGGGCTTGTTCTGAGAGGGGGGATTGCGCTTACCTGCGGCTTGGGGGGGGGAGAAGATTCCGACCGCCCCGCCGGTCTTGTCCAGCCTCCGCGCGTGGCGATGACAACACCTGCCGCTGCAGCAACTGCCTGCACCTGCTCGCACCCCCATCGTGCGCACCTGCTCTCATCCCCATTGTGCGTACCTGCGTCCCGGGGGAGAAGATTCCGACGGCCCCGCCCTTCTTGTCCAGCCTCCGCGCGTGGCGATGACAATACCTGCTGCTGCAACAACTGCCCGCACCTGCGGGCAGGGGGAATGCGCTTACCTGAGTCCCGGGGGAGAAGATTCTGACCGTCCCACCGTTCTTGTCCAGCCTCCGCGCGCGGGAATGGAGGAGGAGAGGATAAGAGGGCCTGAGGAGGGAGGGCGCCTTTTTCTGTTGGCGGGCGGGGGGAACGCGCTTACCTGCGTCCTGGGGGAGAAGATTCCGACTGCTCCGCCCTTCTTGTCCAGCCTCCGCGCGTGCGCCGCGGTGAGCATGGCGACGAGCGCGCGCTTCTCCATCGTCTTGCGCGCAATCACCGCGTCGGGCCCGCGCGTCATGCGCGCAACGCCCTTCACCCCGCCGTAGGACTGCGCGCGGGGAAGGGGAAGGGAAGGGGAAGGGGAAGGAGAAGAGGAACGAAAAAGGGGAATGAGAAGGAGAAGAGGAAGGGGAAAGGGATTCCTGCTCTTGCGCGCAATCACCACGTCGGGCCCGCGCGTCATGCGCGCAACGCCCTTCACTCCGCCGTATGACTGCGGAGTGAAGGGCGATTGAGGGAAAGGGGAAGGGGGAGGATGCGAGGAGGCGGAGAGAACACACACAGGTTTTGATCGTACGCTTGATATTTCTACCCATTTACGGTTCCATCTTACCGAACTGACGACTCAGCTTGGGACGCTCTTAAGATTATCTTACCTCAGTGTTAGTCGTTTGCTCACCATGGCGACAGGAGCGCCAATCGCGCTCATGCGACTGGCGAAGATCGCAGAGCCCGGGATGACGACGTTGGCGACCCACACCGCCGTCGTCGTGAGCTGTTGTGCGACGACGCGAGGGCCAAGAGGGGAGGGGGGGAGGAACGGGAGGATTGAGAGGTGGGCGGGGAGAGGGGAGTATGGGTAAGGATACAGATGGGTACGGATGGGTATGAATGGGAGTGAATGGGTACAGATGGATATGGATGGTACGGATGGGTGGGTCTCGACGTGAGCAATAAGTTTCTCTTTGCTCGGCGCGCAACGTGCCTGATTGTAGACGTTCTTCGCGCACTCCTCCTTGCTCGGCGCGCAGCCCATCCCGCAGTTGGTCCATTTCCCGCCGTACGCGCTACAGTCGTGCACGCATAACGAACCCGCGGGCCGATATCCCGCCTTACACTTGGGCATGCAGTCTCCCATAACATTTTGCTGCCGCATCGGGCATTTTGATAAGCCCTTCTTGCCTCGGGATTTCCGCGTGTACGTGTCGCGCCAGCAGAAATTGAAGATCGACGAGGTGTTTACGACCTCTAGATTCTCGCGCCGAGGCACGGCATACGCGGCGGAAAGGCTGCTTACATCGCGGATTGCACCATCGGCTGAGATGGGTAGAGTGAAATCATTTGAAGATTCGATATAATCTGGGCTCACATAAACGCATACGCAGCTCGAGAAGCAACTAAATATGATCAAAGTTGCAACAGTGAACGATTGAAATGGCGATTTGCGTCTCGCGGCAACGGCGGATCCACCTACTATTCGCGGCATGGTCGAGACGTATTGACGAATCGCTTGGTGCGTATCAGAACCCGCGCAGACAGCAACGAAATGAGGTGTTTCTAAGGGAAATGCGGCACCAGCAAAGTAGATTGTGCCTCGACGGCCTGGACTCGGGCAAATAAAAGTGGTCTGGCGAATGAAATCACCATGTGCAGTTGCTGCTGGCCCCCTGCTGCTGCCCTGCTAGTGCTCGTCTAGTTGCCACCGACTATCGTGCTCTCGCCGTCAAAGACTCGACGGGCTCTCTATCGCGTGTTTCCTTTGTCTCGTTATTTTCCACGGCGCGGTACTCTGGCTCGTGCGCGGCGCTCTAAACGACGGCGCTAAAAATCAAGATACAGTTCTAACCACGGCCCTGGTTGAGAGCCGGTGCGACCTTCATCTCTGCGGTCCGATTTGGGGTAGGTATATCGCGAGGAAAACACTGCTCTAGTGGAGCGAGCGTTGTGTAACCTGGCCGCTGCTTTGCAAATAAGAAGGGGCAGGCCACAGGGAAATGACTACGCGAATGGGGCTCAAGGAAATGCCTGCGTCTCTGGGTGTACGGACGGAACGGGCGGACCGTCCAGTACCCGCCGCCCTGGGAGTCGGCTCGACGGGGCTTTGCTAGCAAGATGTGTCGGTCCGTGATCATGAGATCATTTGAGTCGACTAAAACGAGTTGAATCACACAGAAATCGCATGGACGGGACTTTACTTGCACGATGTGTCGGTGATCACGAGAACAGAGGGAGCTCCAATGCGTCGTCACTCGCGAGTCGTGACGCGCATCGTCTGAAGCACGTGGACAGCACAACGTTTTCATATAGTTCAGCTCAACACAACACAAGACAACTTTCCTCGTCATGCAGGTTGGGTAAAGCGTTGGATCAGGCAGGCACGCACCCCACAGCGGGAAAATGAAAATTTGCAGCACAAGCATTTCGCACCCTTCTGCTCCCATGTATCATGGATGCCATTCACTGCGTCAGTCAGAGTCTCAGAGATGGATTTGGGAATTCTGGGCTTTGATCGAGTCAGAATGACTTCGACGTGCAAATTTGAGATGATCGACAAATGCGTCTCGGGAAAGCGACGCGGGGTGTGTTGTTGCATGATAACCTTCAGACCAGATTGGTTTCGGAAACGATGTTTTGGTTAGCGCTATAGCATGGAAGCGCAACGATTTGTATCGCGTGAGCTACTATAACCTTCAGACCAGATTGGTTTCGGAAACGATGTTTTGGTTAGCGCTATAGCATGGAAGCGCAAGGATTTGTATCGCGTGAGCTACTAACGACGAAATGTTTTCCCCGTCCGCCAGATGCACAGCTTCTGGAAGTAGGAAACGAGCTTCTTGCCCTGCTGGCAACAGAGACTGCCACCCTGGACTTACAGGTGTACGACACCAGTGACTGTGTTCCTGCAATACTGGAACCCACCTCCAGAGTCTCCGGCAATTAGCACATCTTCGTCACCTCTCCGGCAATTAGCACATCTTCGTCACCCAAAAAAATGCACCCCAACACACATGACGAAGCTGGTAACACGTGAAAGTCCCCGATCCCAGCGAGTTGCGAACATAAAGATATCTCACGTTACTCGCCGAACGCTGGTTACTGCCGTCGCAAGGGCAGAGCCTTGGAATCTCCCCACACAATACAGGCTCAAGCAGTTTTTCCAAAATGCTCATCTTTCAGATTCCAGTCCTGTTATCAGGCAGTCGTTTTTCGTTCAGCCATTCTTCAGATTCCCTTTTCTTCTAGTCTTTCGTGCTTGGGAGCCTTCGGCTGACCTTCCTTCCAGGAAGACTACTCCTGATCGCCTTCTTTAACGCTCAGTTTCACCATGTCTAAGAAGAGCGTTAGCTCGTTGACCGAGGCTGACCTTAAGGGAAAGAGGGTGCTTGTCAGAGCTGATCTGAACGTCCCTCTAGCCGGCGATAAGATCACTGACGACACGCGCATTCGCGCGGCCATTCCCACCATCAAGCACCTGACGGAGAAGGGTGCTAAGGTCCTTCTCACGACCCACTTGGTGAGTCTTTGGAAACCATGTGTAAAATGCTATTTTTAAGCCATACTTAGAGCGTTCCTGAATGCACGTTCCTGAATTATAGTTGTTCACCAGTGGGTCAAGAAGGCCAAATTTGGCTCATCCTTCCTAATGTTGGTTGGGTGTCCCAAAAACGCCTGTGCTGATTCCCGATTTCTGAGACCTAGGCCAACATTTTCGACACTCCTATTGGCTCGCGGCCGAATATTGTCCTCACTCCCAACCAACCTTCCTAAGCTTGAATAGCTTGGCCTGCGGGTTTTAATCGATAGCCAGCATGTTTTAGCACCGCATTTTTCTTTCTCTTCGTCAGTTATTTTGGCGGTGGAGTCACATCGCCACTGTTGGATCGTTCGTCCTCTCCTGTCGTCTCATTCTTTCCCGTCCTCTCATTCTCGTGTTTTTCCAGGGACGTCCCAAGGGCGTCACCGAGAAGTACCGCCTGACACCTCTCGTTCCTCGGCTCTCAGAGCTTCTCGGCCAGGAGGTCAGTTTTAAACACTCGCTCCATTTTTTGTCTGATAAGTTTCCTGCATTTCATTGCGAACCATCCAACACTGTAAATCGAACACTATCACTATAGCGTCTTTTCGCGCAGCATTTGCACATAACGACGGTTGACCGTACAATAAACGCTAACACCAGACGTCTTGTCGCGCAGCATTTGAACATGACGACATTTGACCCTTCCGTTGACCCGATTCCCTTTTAAACCGCGGAAACTTACTTTTCATTTCTTCTCTCTTTTTTTTTCCTTTTTTTTTTTTTTTCCCGTGTACTGTGCAGGTGAAGAAGGTCGACGATTGCATTGGCGAGGCCGTCGAGAAGGCTGTCGCGGAGCTCGAGGAGGGTCAGGTGGTGCTGCTCGAGAACGTGCGGTTCCACCCCGAGGAGGAGAAGAATGTCGCCGACTTCGCGCAGAAGCTCGCGGCGAACGCGGATCTGTATGTTAACGATGCGTTCGGCACGGCGCACCGCGCGCACGCGTCCACAGAGGGCGTCACCAAGTTCCTGAAGCCGTCCGTTGCCGGATTCCTGCTTCAGAAGGTAAGACCCATCTGGATCCAAAACTTGACCCACTAGTTTCGCTTCGCTTTTCTGTGTGCACACGCTTCATTTGTTTGTGTGATCAGGAATCTGTGAAACGGCTGAGGTTTATGCTAACCCGGAATAGCATACCAAACGTGCACTGTTTCATCGGATGACATTCCAGCTAATGTGAGGCCTTATATTTTGCCGTTCCGCTCGCATCAACCTCCACTCCTCTGATCTGTGTACTCGTTATTGTCTTCCTCAGGAGCTGGACTACTTGGTTGGAGCAATTGCTGAGCCGAAGCGGCCGCTGGTGGCGATCGTGGGTGGATCCAAGGTGTCTACCAAGATCGGCGTGCTTGAATCGCTTCTTAACAAGTAGGTTACCCGTTTCGGTCACATGTTGCTGCCGGTCTTAAGATAATTCCGGCCATGATGACTGTATAGACTTTAGCACGGCTGATCCAGATCGTCGGCGGATCCAGGCTGGAGTCCCTGCTTAACGAGTAAGTTACCCATTTCCGAGGTTACTTTTGAGTCAATCAGAAGTCATTCTCTGACTCAGACTTAAAGTGCCACCAGATTGGCACGCTGGAGTCCCTTCGTAACAAGTAAAGCCACCGTTTCAACTCGTCTTGAGATGGTTCCCCGGTCACTGCGTAGTCGGCTTCATGACCGGCGACGGTGGCGTTGTGAAGGTGTTTATATCCCTGAAAGTTATTAATCTTGTTATCTTATGGAGATTGTTCGTGAGGTGGTTAACTTATGGCCACTGTTGCCGCAATACGATATCACTCTATTGTGCCAAAGGGCTCATATCCCAATGCCCCGTTCCCCCACTCTTCTCCCCTTCACCTCTCTTCCTCCCCCTCTTTCGACAGGTGCGACGCGCTGCTGCTTGGCGGCGGCATGATCTTCACGTTCTACAAGGCGGAGGGCAAGTCAGTCGGAGCATCGCTGGTGGAGGAGGATAAGGTGGAGCTGGCGGGTAGCCTCATCAAGAAGGCGTCGGAGAAGGGTGTCCAGCTGCTGCTGCCCACTGACGTCAAAATCGCCAATAAATTCGCCAACGACGCGGAGACCCAGGTGAGACCCAGGTGCTGGGAGGGGGAGGAAGGAAAAGGGGTGCTGGGAGGAGGGAAAAGGGGTGCTGGGAGGAGGGAAAAAGGGTGCTGGGAGGAGGGAAAAGGGGTGCTGGGAGGACAGAAAAAGGGTGCTGGGAGGAGGGGAAAGGGGTGCTGGGAGGAGGGAAAAGGGGTGCTGGGAGGAGGGAAAAAGGGTGCTGGGAGGAGGGAAAAAGGGTGCTAGGATGAGGGAAAAAGGGTGCTGGGATGAGGGAAAAAGGGTGCTGGGATGAGGGAAAAAGGGTGCTGGGATGAGGGAAAAAGGGTGCTGGGATGAGGGAAAAAGGGTGCTGGGATGAGGGAAAAAGGGTGCTGGGAGGAGGGAAAAGGGGTGCTGGGAGGAGGGAAAAAGGGTGCTGGGAGGAGGGAAAAGGGGTGCTGGGAGGAGGGAAAAAGGGTGCTGGGAGGAGGGAAAAAGGGTGCTGGGAGGAGGGAAAAAGGGTGCTGGGAGGAGGGAAAAAGGGTGCTGGGAGGAGGGAAAAAGGGTGCTGGGAGGAGGGAAAAAGGGTGCTGGGAGGAGGGAAAAAGGGTGCTGGGAGGAGGGAAAAAGGGTGCTGGGAGGAGGGAAAAAGGGTGCTGGGAGGAGGGAAAAAGGGTGCTGGGAGGAGGGAAAAAGGGTGCTGGGAGGAGGGAAAAAGGGTGCTGGGAGGAGGGAAAAAGGGTGCTGGGAGGAGGGAAAAAGGGTGCTGGGAGGAGGGAAAAAGGGTGCTGGGAGGAGGGAAAAAGGGTGCTGGGAGGAGGGAAAAAGGGTGCTGGGTAGAGGAGGTGGAGGGTGCTGGGTAGAGGAGGAGGAGGGTGCTGGGATAGTTGAGGAATAGGGTGCTGGAAAGGGGGAAGGAGGGTGCTAGGATGAGGCATCCCATCTGTAGGTGCTGAGGCCATCCCTGATGGCTGACTGCATAGGGGCTCCCTGGATGAGGCTGGATTTGGGCCCAGGCAGCAACAGTGCGGTCTCTGGTTTAATTGTTGAATCCCGAGCTAATGTGACAAGCGTCCGTTCAAACATTCGCCTCTCTCCTCTCTCTCTCCTCCCACTCTTCTCTCTTCTCTCACCTCTCTCGCCCACTCTCCCTTTTTGCGCTATCTCTCCTCACACCTTGTTCCTCCATCCCCTCCCATCTCCAGGTGGTTTCAGCAGACGCCATTCCAGACGGCTGGATGGGTCTGGACATCGGTCCTGACAGCATCAGTGCATTCTCTAAGGTCATCAATGACGCCAAGACCATCATCTGGAACGGCCCCATGGGCGTCTTCGAATTCAAAAACTTCGCCAAGGGAACCAATGTGAGTGGTGCTGCTGGCATCTGCGTATGCACGTCACACTACGTATGCACATGTTAACACTACGTTTCCACATGTTCACACTACGTAAGCTCATGTCCACACAAAGTATGCACATGTTCACTCGATTGCTCACCATTTTCACATGCTGGTGGATTGTCTAATGTTTCTTCAGACTCTTAGGCACGCGGCAAAATACCTGTTGGTATCTTCCCTAAAACATATAACCTGAGGCCTCTAACCTGTCCGCACCTCATCTCCCTCTCAATTACCATCAGTAAATATAATCCAACGCACATCACCGAATTCATTATTTTTTATTCCCTCCGCTGATCACTTGGTGGTTTCCAGGACATTGCCTACAGGCTCGCAGATGCGACAGAGAAGGGTGCCACGACCATCATTGGAGGGGGTGATAGCGTGGCAGCAGTGGAAAAGGCAGGATTGGCTGACAAGATGAGCCACATTTCGACAGGTGGCGGCGCATCATTGGAGCTGTTGGAGGGTAAGGTGCTCCCTGGCGTTGCTGCTCTCGATGAGGCGTGAATAATCGGGGCCATGCGGCAGAAATTCTGCTGCATAAGGAGTTGTTGAAGTGATAGTCAATGCAGAGGATAAAACTAGAGCATCTTCGAAAAAACATTGCACATTTCAACGAAGGCAATCAGATGAAACGGTATGTCAGCACCTCTTTTGAACCTGATGCCTAATCCCACGGATCGATCTGACTTGCTCCCAGCAAATCACGAGTGAACATAAGGCAGTCCCTCAGCTCCGCAAACTCATTCTATTGGCAAGAGTTGCTGCAGCCAGTGATGAAGCAGCAACAATCTGAAGAACCAGGATAACAAGCATCCGGACAACATATGGTCCATTGTTGCTGCCTTTCTTCATGACCGGTTATTTTAAAACCAGGGGGAATCTAGAATCGCCATCCTCTCGCTCCCACCAGCAGAAACACGCATGGCAGGTCCCTAGACTGCCATCCTCTCCCACCCGCCCACCATCGGCAGAAGCTGCTGAACCTTGTCGTACATCCCTAGCAGCCCTCCCGTATGTACAAACAAAACCCGCCGCCCCGTCCATTCGTCTGGATTCTGCGTCATGTCCTGTAGCAATCCCCTGAGAGCCTTGCCACTGTGGGAAGGAGGGACGGGAGAGGGAGGAGGGAGGAGGAGGTAAGGGTGGGAGGAGAGGTGGGGATCAGTGAAGGTTTTAATGCCACATAGAGTCACATAAACATATACACTTTCACAGACATACCTGTAGACTGGGTCGAGCACTATGGCAGTGCAGTTAGCCACAAAGACACGTATAGATACAGTATTACAAAAATGTACACATAGACATATACACTCCAATGCACACACCTGTAGACTGGGTCGAGCGTTATGCCGGTGCTTTGAGCCACATAGATACATAATAACATGGTAATTAACATTTACATGTACACTTATATCATAATACAACTTCACGCACACACCTGTAGACTGGGTCGAGCACTATGCCGGTGCTTTGAGCCACAGACTGCACCAGCTGAAGCTCCTCCTCTGTGCTGATGGCGTAGCCTGCCCCCTTCACCTGCTCACATGCACACACAGGGAGACAGAAACATATGAGTACACAGAGGGACATGGACGGGACTGCACCAGCTGAAGCTCCTCCTCTGTGCTGATGGCGTAGCCTGCCCCCTTCACCTGCTCACATGCACACACAGGGAGACAGAAACATATGAGTACACAGAGGGACACGGACGGGACTGCACCAGCTGAAGCTCCTCCTCTGTGCTGATGGCGTAGCCTGCCCCCTTCACCTGCTCACATGCACACACAGGGAGACAGAAACATATGAGTACACAGAGGGACACGGACGGGACTGCACCAGCTGAAGCTCCTCCTCTGTGCTGATGGCGTAGCCTGCCCCCTTCACCTGCTCACATGCACACACAGGGAGACAGAAACATATGAGTACACAGAGGGACACGGACGGGACTGCACCAGCTGAAGCTCCTCCTCTGTGCTGATGGCGTAGCCTGCCCCCTTCACCTGCTCACATGCACACACAGGGAGACAGAAACATATGAGTACACAGAGGGACACGGACGGGACTGCACCAGCTGAAGCTCCTCCTCTGTGCTGATGGCGTAGCCTGCCCCCTTCACCTGCTCACATGCACACACAGGGAGACAGAAACATATGAGTACACAGAGGGACACGGACGGGACTGCACCAGCTGAAGCTCCTCCTCTGTGCTGATGGCGTAGCCTGCCCCCTTCACCTGCTCACATGCACACACAGGGAGACAGAAACATATGAGTACACAGAGGGACACGGACGGGACTGCACCAGCTGAAGCTCCTCCTCTGTGCTGATGGCGTAGCCTGCCCCCTTCACCTGCTCAAGTGATCATATGCACGCATGGAAGTACAGGCACATATACACACATGAACACATATGAATGCACACAGAGACACAGACTGGACTGCACCAGCTGAAGCTGCTCCTCTGTTGTGCTAATAGCGTAGCGTGCCCCCTTTCACCTGGGAACATGCCCGCATACATACACAGGGATACAGACACATATGAAAGCACACAGAGGGTCACAGACTTAACTGCATCAGCTGAAGCTGCTCCTCTGTGCTCATGGCGTACCGTGGCCCCTTCACCTGCTCACACATGCATGTGTAGATACATTTGTGTGCATACATATGAAAGCACACAGGGGCACAGACTGGACTGCACCAGCTGCAGCTCCTCCTCCGTGCTTATGGCGTAGCCTGCCCCCTTCACCTGCTCACATGTGTACACAGGGACGCACACACACACACGGAATAGCCGGGAGTGTCACAGACACACAGGGAGCACTATGCCTATGCTTTGAGCCACGGTCTGCACTAGCTGAAGCTCCTCTGTGCTTATGGCGTAGCCTGCCCCCTTCACTTGCTCATGCGGTCAGATCAATGTATGGGTATACAGGCACATATGCAGGCATGCGCGTATGGAGGTATAGACACATATGAGTGCACACAGGGACACAGACCCTATCGCCACTGCACCAGCTGAAGCTCCTCCTCCGTGCTCATAGCGCAGCCTGCCCCCTTCACCTGCTCACGAGCACAGATGCACGTACGGAAATACAGTCACATGAGACAATCATGCATACAGGGTCGCAGTCCAGACTGCACCAGCTGAAGCTCCTCCTCCGTGCTGATGGCGCAGCCTGCCCCCTTTCACCTGGACAAATACACAGATGCACACATGCAGACATCCACGCACGGATGCATGCAGACTCATGCATGTGGAATGAAGCAGTTCGTCGGAAGAAACTCTCCCAGGCTTAGTTCTGATTCCGTCCAGCAGCCCCTGGAAGAAGGTGCTTTTTGAGGCGCCTCAAAACTAGACGCCTCAAAAAAACAACTTCTGACTCCATCCAGAAGCCCCTGGAAAAAGATGGGAGAGTCGCGAGTCAGCAATTCTCTTTCCTTTCCAATGGGCATGGATGAGAGAGAGGGTGATGAGAAGGCGGCTCACATCAATGACTCGCAGCAGTTCCTTTGAAGAGATGCTCCCAGGTGTTGACATGACTCCGTCCAGCAGCCCTTGAATGTAGTCGTAGAAGGAAGTAGGCGGGAGAGTTGCACACAGAGAATAGGCATACCCTTCCGTTTTCAATGAACAGGGATGAGAGAGCGGGGAGTGAGAAGGAAGCTCACGTCAATGACTCGCAGCAGTTCCTTAGACGAAACGACCCCTGGCTTCGACGTGACTCCGTCCAGCAGCCCTTGAATGTAGTCGTAGAAGGAAGTAGGCGGGAGAGTTGCACACAGAGAATAGGCATACCCTTCCCTTCTCAATGAACAGGGATGAGAGAGCGGGGAGTGAGAAGGAAGCTCACGTCAATGACTCGCAGCAGTTCCTTAGACGAAACGACCCCTGGCTTCGACGTGACTCCGTCCAGCAGCCCTTGAATGTAGTCGTAGAAGGAAGTAGGCGGGAGAGTCGCACACAGAGAAGGCATTCGGCATTGCAGGAGGAGTGAGAGGATGTGAGGCGACAACCCAGAAACCCTTACATCAATGACTCGCAGAAGGTTCCTTGAGTCAACACTCCCAGACTTGGACGTGACTGCATCTAGCAACCCTTGAATGTAGTCGTAGAAGCAGCCGGGAGAGTTGCACATTGAGAGGGGAAGAGAGAGAGGGAAAAGCGAGGAGAGCTCACATCAATGACTTGCAGCAGGTCCTCTGAAGAAACGCTCCCAGGCTTTGACGTCACTCCGTCCGGCAGCCCTTGAATGTAGTCGTAGAAGCAGGCGGGAGAGTTGCACACAGAGTGATGAAGAGAGAGGGGAGAGCCATACAAAGGACCGTTTGAGGGGAAAGTGAAGGGAACTCACATCAATGACCCGAAGCAGGTCCTTTGAAGCAACACTCCCAGGCGTGGATGTGACCCCATCAAGCAGCCCTTGAATGTAGCCGTAGAAATAGCCGGGAGAGTCGCACACAGAGTAGGCATGCACACGGGTGGAGGAGAGAGCGCTCAGATGCACTCCCAGCGCCAACCCTGCTGATGTGCCGCCACTGGGGGGGATGGTGTGGGGGAGAAGCGGAGGGAGAAGGACAACGAGGGTTGGTTTGAGGGAAGCAGGGAAGCAGGGAATTGTGGAGGTAACTGTAAGTGTCGCACACAGAGTAGGCGTGCACGCGGGTAGAGGAGAGAGCACTCAGATACACTCCCAGCGCCAGCCCTGCTGACGTGCCGCCACTGGGGGAGATAGTGTGGGGGTAGCAGGGAAGCAGGGAAGCAGGGAAGCAGGGAGGTGTGGGAGTAATTGAGAGAGTCGCACACGGAGTAGGCATGCACGCGGGTGGAAGAGAGGGCGCTCAGATGCACTCCCAGCGCCAACCCCGCTGAGGTGCCGCCACTGGAGTGGGTGTAGTAGGTGTGGGGGTAGTAGGGAAGAAGATAAGTGTGGGAAGAATACAGGTCTGTCGCACACAGAGTAGGCATGCACGCGGGTGGAAGAGAGGGCGCTCAGATGGACTCCCAGCGCCAACCCCGCTGAGGTGCCGCCACTGGGGGGGATGGTGTGTGGGTAGCCGGGAAGCAGGGAAGCAGGGAAGAGTGGGAGTGAATGGGAGTGTCGCACACAGAGTAGGCATGCACGCGGGTAGAAGAGAGGGCGCTCAGATGGACTCCCAGCGCCAACCCTGCTGAGGTGCCTCTACTGGAGGTGTTTTAGAAGTGAGATATGGAGGGAGGGGTTGTCGAGAAAGGGGGGAGCAGCCAAAAAGGGAGTTTTTGAGAATTCTCAAAAACTCAACACTGGAGTTGTTTTAGACGGGAGATATGGAGGGAGGGGTTGTCAAGAGAGAGGGAAGCAGCCAAAAAGAGTCGCACACTGCCAGATGGCATGTGCAGTTTTGAGGCAGAAATGCAGGGAAGCAGGGAAAAGCAGTGTGCAACGCCTCAAAAGCAGCCAAAAAGTGTCGCACACAGCCAGATGGCATGTCTGCTTTTGAGTCGACTCAAAAGCAGTTATGAGGC